TTTTTTATTCTTATTTTTTTAATTTCTGAGTTTTCTAAATTCCTACCAGAACTTCTATTCCTCGAAATTATTTATCTCCACTATTGGAAACCTGGAAGACAGATTCCTCTCCTTCAACAGAATCTTCTCAAACTCTAAGCTAGTTTTCTAGTTTGACTGGAACTAGTGGTCTCTGGGCTGGGCACGGGTTCTCTCGCCCCTGGATTCTGTGAGCTGGGGAAGGGGCTTCCCGCCCGCTGGGTGCCGCTGTACCTGCCAACGCAGGTGGGCAGGGTCCACAATCCTGGGTTGGGCAGTGACGCTCAGGAGGAGGGGAGGTGGACACATCACAGGCCCTGAGCAGCCTGTGAAAGGACGGGGGAGGGTCGGGGAGCAAGGCCACAGGGACTGACTGCAGCCTCTGGGGCGGGCAGTTGGGTGGTCCTGCTGCCAAGGGCTCGGTTCTGAGCAGCCATGAGACTGCTCCAAGGGAAGAGGCTCCCGGGCAGCTGCTCTGCAGGGCAGGGGCCTCGAGGACGGGGAGCCCTGTGGGGTCCTGTGGGGAGGAAGCTGGTCTAGAGGAGTCGCGATGGGCAAAGGGGAGAAATAAGGAACGTCCTCCAGCGAGCTTCTGCCCTTGTCAATGCTTTATTTACTCAGATCACTCAGCACAATTCCACTCTAGGTTCCTAATCAAGGAAAGTCAGGCCTCAGTGCCGGGCACTGCAATAGACAAGATCAACCCACAGCCAACGATTCGAGGTTAGCTCTAAGCACTGGGAACACACCTGATCATGACAGGCCCACGACAGACTTGTCCTCTGTGATGCTTAGCCCAAGGGCAGGTCTAAGTCCGGCAGATGCCCACTCACTCAGGGCTCGGTGATCAGGTCAGGAACCAAGGCAGGCTTCTCCTGGGCGGAGCTGACGGCCACTTGAGGAGAGGGTCAAAAGGAGACGTGGCCATTCTCTCCAGGTCCAGATGTGGCTGTCGAGTTTGAGAGTGTGAGGACGATGCAGAGGGTCAGGCAGACAGCGAGAAGACTCGGGGTGTCAGTCTGGCTCCTCACCAGGCTCTCCGGTGTGTGCATCGGTGTCACCGGCTGAGTGTCCATTTGCTGCACTGTTTACACTACCCTTTGGGGCTTCTGACCACCCTTTCACTCCCTCTCAGCTGCTACCGGTTTCTCAGTGACGTCCTGTGTCCTGAGGTCAAGGCATCTGGTCTGGTGGTCCCACCTGGTTTTCTCGCCTCTGGCCTTTACCAGGGCGAGGGCACGAGCAGAGACTTCGCTCTGAGTCTGTCAGGGTTGTGAGAAGTGACTTCTTTGTCAGGCTGTGCCTGATGACCATATGGAGGCTCCGTAGGTGTGCCTGCTGGGGACTGCAGTCTCGTTTCAGATGAAGTTTCTCAGGCTAAGGCTCTCGTTCAGGCCATCCTGACACCTCCTCGTGTCTCAGTTGCCTGGACCACAGAGCCAGAAGAAAGGCGGACATCTGCCTCTGAGTGAACGAGGCTGGAACAGCTGTGTGGAGGGCTCAGAGGCCACCTAACCCGAGACCCTGGAGGCACAGTGACCTCGGGAATCTGGAGACTCAGGTTCTAGAATGGCCATGTGGAGTGCGACCCCAGTGGAGCCGGAGAACCGCCTCGACGGAGCACAGGCTCCGCTCTGGGCGCCTGCTGGTCACCCCACACGAGCAGCAGCCTGGGCAGCCTGGGCAGGGAGGGTTCACACGGGTGGTGTCCAGTGACGCTGCGTCCCTCTCCGTGCGTAGGGAGCATTGAAGAAGGGGTCTGTGTCAACTCCCCCAGGTGGCCCAGCTCACAGGCTGTCCCCCAGGGTGAGTGTGCCACCCAGAGGGACCTCAATGCCAACTCACAGAAGGTCTGCTGCCAGGGAGCGCGTTCCCCACCCCTGGGCGGGACTCCCTGCCCATGCTCACTCCCCTGTGATCCTCCTGCGCCTATGTCCCCAGACGCTCCTAGGACCCTCCATGCCTGAGCTCCTAGCTGCCCCTGGTGCCCCCTGGAGTCCCAGCTTCGGTCAGGGCCTGGCTGGGAAGCTCCACAGCCCTCTGTCCCCTCCACCATCCTGGGTGAGCAGCCCTTGGTGGTCCCTAGCCCCTGTGAGGGCTCAGCCACGGTGACAGGAAAGGTCTCAGTTCCCAGTGGCAGGGGAGACGTCCGGCCCAGGGCTGCTGCCCACCGCGCTCTGCTGCGTCTCTGTGACCACCTGCTCTGCGGGGGCCACGCACCCCCTCTACAGACTGAGGCAGGGAAACAGGCTCTGTGAGGTTGGCGGAGGACTCAGGAGTCTGCCATGTCAGGGGTCTCCCCACCCTGAGGCCCTGCGAGCAGTCCTCCCGCTTGGTCTCCTGAGGGCCAATGCTGCCCTGAGGGTGGGGAGCCTCTGAGACCACAGCTGTCAGAAGGTCGGACATCTGGGTGAGCTCAGGGTGCCACTGGGCCCCAGATTCAGCTGGACTTACCTCGGAGCCGGTGCCTAGCAAGCCTGGTGGCCTCAGGGGATGGGATTGAGGGCCCCGGGCAGCACCCTCCCTCCCTCCAGCTCTGCTCTGCTCCTGCCCTGAGTCCACCCCTGTGCCCCAGTCTGTTGCCTTCTGCCAGCCGAGCCTGCTTCAGGGGCCAGCAGTGTCCAGTCCTCCTGCCGGCCACCCCAAAGCCCTGGGCCGAGGCAAGCTGAAATGGCGTCTCAGGGGAGCCCAGGTGGACCTGGAAGCCTGGGTCCTCGTTGACAAGCTGCTCAGGCCGGAGCGGCCGCCCCACCTTCCCTCCAGGGTCTTGATTTCTTACCAAAGAGCTGCAGAAGGAAGCCCTAAGCTTGTGAGGAGGAGCCTCAGGCAACGCCTGCTTGGCCCTCTGTGGGGAGCAGCAGGTGTGTGGCCGTAGGTGACAGCTCAAGCTCACCCCTCACCCGTCCGAGAAGGTGCACATGCAGCCCTGTACCAGGAGAGGAAGCTGCGCCCAGTGTGCGCCGTCCCAGCCAGGCAGGGACACCCGCTCTGCCAAGGCCCGCCCCTCCCTGGGCGCACATGGGCCTGCGCAGTCTGGAACGCATTGTCACCCTCCAGCAATTCACAGAGCCCCTCTTCCCAGTCGGCACAGCCCTCCCAGGGCCCTCGAGCGCAGGCCTCCTGTTCCCTGCGGCCACTCTGGTGCCCTGAGCCCCCCTGTAGGGGTTTGGGGCAGTGGGGGAGGGAGGGACAGGGCCTCCAGGACTGGCCTTACTTAGGTCGCAGACTCAAAGATGGAAATAGGATTCAAAACGCAGCCTTCACACTGTGAGAAAAGGCTGGGGAGGGAGGGAGGCCGAGCAGGAGGACGCTGTGGTAAGCACTGTCCCCGGTGCTTCCTTGTCGAGCCTGGAGCTTCTACCCTAGGAAAGGCACTGCAGCAGGAGCTCTGCTGGGGAGCACTGAGGAAGAGCACTTTCTCCTTGGCCTTCCCAGGCCTCGCCTCTGTGCCACGCGCCTCTGTGCCACGCGCCTCTGTGCCACACGTCTCTGTGCCACACGCCTCTGTGCCACGTACCTCCGTGCCACACGCCTCTGTGTCACCTACCTCTGTGCCATGCGCCTCTGTGCCACATGTCTCTGTGCCACACGCCTCCGTGCCACGTACCTCCGTGCCACACGCCTCTGTGTCACCTACCTCTGTGCCATGCGCCTCTGTGCCACATGTCTCTGTGCCACGCACCTCTGTACCACGCACTTTGGTGCCACGCGCCTCAGTGCCACACTCCAGCAACACAGACAGAGCCCAAGGAGGAACCACAGGCCTCACCCTGCCTGGACCAGGAATCTGCACAGCAGAGCCAGGAGGTGGGAGCATCACACTCAGGGTCACAGTGAACGGACCCAAGGGACGTGCTTGAAAAAGTTCCTAGATATTAACAAAAAAGAAAACTCAAACCCACTCCTTAACACGTAGGTGCTGTTTACAAACTGAGATTCAGAGCTGTCACTGCAGGAGACGTTGGGGACAACGGTGGGTCTCTTTCCCCTTCTGAGTGGCAACCCTCCAGGTGGGAGAAGCTGGAGAGGAGCGAACTTCGATTCTGTCTTGTGTGTGACAAGCTCCGACCTTTTTCCAGAGATAGGTGACATGTGTCAAGGGTAAGGAGTCAGAGGACTGACACACTCTTCTGGTTGACAGGACAAAGTGAATGTGTCCTCACACACGAGGAGCAGGAGAAGGTGGCCCTGCAGCAGAGCCTCAGGCTGGGTCAGTCCTCCTGCCCAGCTGACCACTGGCTGTCCCCCACACCTCGCACTCACAGGCCTCTGACCAGGGGACAGGCAGGCACCCCTCCACCTTCCTCAGCGGAAAAACTGCTGTTCACCATGACCCCCACCTCCCAGCCCCACACCTCGCCCTCCTGCCCCAGCCCAGCTCTCTGGAAACTCAGGGGCCTGCTCTGAGACACACCTCAGCCTGGGGGTCTGGGTCCTGCAGGGTCTGGCTCCTGCGAGCTGCAGCCGGCTCTGCTCCCGGCTCTGCTCCCCTCCCCTCTCCATCGCCAGATGTGCCAGTGTTGAGTTCCTGATGTAACTTGACCTTTCTTTTCTCAATTAATAGAAAGGGCATTGGAAATTTTTATACTAAAAAGAAAAATCCACTGCACTTATCATAGCTTTCCTTCCAGAATACAAAGAATCACCCTGGATTGGAAATTGCAAAGAACATTGGGGAATAAAGGAATCGTGCAACCAAAATGAGGCCACTCACCCCGTTTAGTTCACGTTCTATCGTCACTCTGCAGGACAGCTGGGCTGGCCTCACGGGGCGGGCAGGTGGGCCTGCAGAGGGGGCATCTGCAGCTCACGCCTCCCGGGCTTGTTCCTGCTGCCGTGGCGCCACCGGAGCAGTGGAGCGGGAGTGCCCATTGATGCTTCTAAGCAAAAAAATGATTTTAAAAAATTGTAGCAGAGTGCGCCTTAGGAACCGCGGAAGAGAGAGCCTTTCAAGAGAATACTCACACACTGTTTAACTCTGAGCTATCAACAAAGCGGCCCGGCCGTCTTCCAGGAAGAGGAGAGGATGTTTACATTCCTCAGTTCCTTTTCATCTCCGTCCCAGGGTGAAGGATCTCAGGGCTTGAGGCCCCACGAGGTTCTCCTCCAGAGGAGCCCAGGGCCAGCAGAGGAGAGGCGGAGAGGCGGGAGGAGGGGCGAGGCCGGAATGATGGAGGAGGAACATACCTCCCGGCGCCCTCCACCTTCGTGGGCATCCCCACTCTCCTCCCGACCCTGACGGCTTGGCAGGTACGAGCCTGGTCCCAGCCTGGTCCCAGCTGCCCCTGGGCCCTTTCCTCCACCCTGCTGCCAACCTGCCCTCCAGGCCTCTGACCCGGGACAGACAGGCACCCCTCCGCCTTCCTCAGCCGTGTTCCACGTCACCCCCACTCCCAGCCCCACCACCCCGCGCTCACCGACAGAACCTGCCCTGTCCCTGCAGTCCTGAGAGACAGTGAAGCCAGCCTGGCACCCCTGGCCCAGGCCCTGCTGGCAGGACTGTGGAGGGCACCCACACTGTCCCCGAGTGCTGCCTCTGACCTGGCCTACCCGCCGGGCACTTCAAGCCCAAACATCCTTTCAGAACCACGCTGTGTGACGCCCCAATGAGGCAAGCGTGTGCTCCTGCCCAGCCGGATCCCATTCCGTCACCTTGTCCCCAGGCCAGAGAGAGGGAGCCCTGCGACTCTTCCTGCAGCCTCCGCCTCCCGCAGGGTTCAGACCCAACCCACGGTCGGTCGTGCTAAGGAGGACAGAGCCGCTTCTCGGCCCACATGTCCGTCGGCCGCTGTCCCCATGGACCCTCGTTCTGGACGACACTCACTACTGAGCCAGTCATTGCCCGCACAGCCTCTTGGGCAGATGTGCCAACCCCAGTGCCGAGGAGGTGAGCCCGCGCCCAGTACTCACTCCTCTGAGACGCAGCCTCTCCAGCTAGCCCGGGCTCCCGGACTCTGCTCAAGCCAGGGTCCACGTCCACACTGCTGCTGCCAGAGCAGGTAGAGACGACCACACTTCTGAACCCAGGCCCAGGCCCAGGACTGTCCATGGGCCCACGTCCACACTGCTGCTGCCAGGGCAGGTAGAGACGACCACACTTCCGAACCCAGGCCCAGGCCCAGGACTGTCCATGGTAAGGGGAGGAAAGGGCCTCCTGGGAGAGGGCGGGTGTGTATCTCATGGCCTCCAGAGCACTGCCCACTGTCTGCCCTGGCCTCCCGCCCGTCCTCACTCATGTTTCCATGGCTTCTTCTGGGGCCTCTGGTCTGTGCAGGAGA